CTCTCCATGATGCACTTCGGTTTCCCTCGCTCCTCAGCCTCCCCTCCTGCCTTTCTCCTCCTTTCCTCACCAGCCTCCAGAAGCGGCGGTGTGTACGTTTTAAATAACGCCATCTGCAACGGGGCCTGCGTCATACCGGGGCCCCACGAGCTGGCAGCTCACGACAGCAGCCCTGTGCTTTGAGGAGCGGTCTGCCGAACCCCAGCCCCCCACTCTGTCTGCAGAACTGCAGGGAGGGAGAACTTGCGGACATTCTTCCTTGCGGGGACAGAAGGGTGGAGCTGGAGAAAGGAGCCACTCATGGCATGAATGTTTTCCCTCGCGTGGTTCCTTCCCATTGGGTGCCTGGCTCGCTAGGGCATCCTAGTGCTTGTCCAGTGCAGCCTGAGCCCGTCTGTTCCGCACTGCTCTGAAGGAATGCCCTGCCCAATCAAGCTATAAGGTCCCTTTTTGGAGGGGACAATTTTATGACCACGGGGAGTAAACCTGAAGCTTTAGTGTAAAGGCGAAGTTAAAATTTGGTAATTTGGTTCTGCAGCCAGGTTTGCTGGCTCAGGACTGCAGGCAAGGATGGAGGGGAGGTCATGGTTTACATAGGAAAGCTCTCCTGCCCTGATGTATGCAAAGTCCTGGGGGTGAGATGCTCCTCTCACTGGAGCTAATTTTACCCATCAGAGCTGATGCAGCTGGTCCATACTGCCTCTGACATCCTCCTTCCTTTCACAGGATGTCCTGAGAGCACAGTGGTGGTGAGTCCCAGCATGTCTGACATGGACACTCCGGTTGTGGTTGATTTAAAAGCCATAGTTATCAGAACAGCGCGGTGCTGGGCAGGATAGATTAAGAGAGTGCGCACTTCATCACGGGTGGAAACCCAGGGCTACCTCCTCCACTGCCGTAAATTGGCATTGACTTCAACGGAACGGTGCTGATTTACTCCAGTGGAGTGTCAGGCCTCCTGGTTTTCTGCAGCAAGCCCCCCTCCGAGAAGGCAGCAAGTGAGTGGTAACTGTCACTCTTTGACTCGATTCACTCCCCAACAAGGGTTGGCCGTTGGCAGGAGAAGAAAATCATCATCATCCAAAAAAAAAAAAAAAATAACCCACTTCCAGGTTATATTTTCTGCATGATCTTTTTTTATTGAATTCTTTTCAGAAAAATTCTTATTGTCAACATGTATAAAATAATAGAACCTAATAAACACAGAAACCAAATAAACTTAATAAGGACCCAATCCTGCAAACAGTTACTTGGTGAATAACTGAGTGGCCCTGTTCACATGAACACATGAAGTTACCCAGATGTGTAACTGTTGGCAAGACTGGGCCCTAATACCAGATAGGCCTAATCATAATGCTCTGAAATATCAAACCAAGATGCTTGATATAGGCTCTGCAATCAATGTTCTGGCACCAAAAGGTAAGCGGCCTGGGTTTTCGGCAGTGCTGAATATCCTGGAATCTCATTCAAGTCCATCACTTCAAAAGTTTTTTTTCTCTTACTTAATTGGCCTCTCAGAGTTGGTAAGACAACTCCCACCTGTTCATGCTCTCTGTATGTATATACATATATCTCCTCAATATATGTTCAATTCTATGCATCCGATGAAGTGGGCTGTAGCCCACGAAAGCTTATGCTCAAATAAATTTGTTAGTCTCTAAGGTGCCACAAGTACTCCTGTTCTTTTTGCGGATACAGACTAACACGGCTGCTACTCTGAAACCCGTCATTCAAGTCCATGGAAGCTAAAGGAACGTAGCAGTTCTGAAAATTAGGCCATTTATATTTAGGAACCTAATCTTGAAGATTTTGGCAATGAATCCCAAGCACTGGACACCACGTGGGTTAAAGTGTAAGATTGTATCGTCCTAAATCCTCCAGATTTTTAAAGCGTTTTTCATTCCAAACAAAAAAGTCAGATTGAGGTGGATTGAAGTCTAGGAACAAAGGGAGGGAAATTAATTTCCCCCCTCCTCTCCAGGCACCTGTCAATCATACACCAACAGACCTTTGTTAATTCACACTGATAACTAACTCGTTGAGAGCTTGTCTACACATCATTTTAACTGTATCGGTGTAGCTAAAGGCGGTACAGTCCCTCTAGCGCAGACGTGGCTACAGCAGTACCGCTATTCTTTACCGGAAGGGGAGTAAGCTACATTGGTATAAGGCATCTTCATACCAGTGTAACTGTGTCTACATCAGGACTTTTACTGGCATCACTATTTCAGTTTAAAAAAATAAATCACACCCCCTAACCAAAATAGTGACCCCAGTAAGGCTTTCAACTGTAGACCAGGCCCTAGAATGGATAAATGTTGTGAATTAGCAGAAGAGTGAATGAGATTTTTTTTTTTTTAAAAGGCTGCTACGTCATAAAATAGTTTTGACAATTGCCACTTTAATGGCCCGAGATTTAGTGATTGTGGGTGCCTCCATTTTTGAGTGTCCAACACACGAGACAAAGGGGTTTTATTTTCAGAAAATCTGGAGCACCAGTCATCAGGTTTGTTATGTTGGGCACCCAAAAAAAAAAAAGGAAGATAGGCTGTGGCAAACAACACCCCAGACAAGAGGTCTGAGCCCAGGAGAATGTCCTGTGGCACAAACCCAGAATGAGTGAATAAACAGCCGACTCCCAGTTGGCTAAAGAGGTGGGACCCAGCAGCAGACTAGTGTCTGTACGCAGTGGTAACATTATACAAATGTTTTAGTTAAACCTGCTGCACGCAAAGTCTGATGGGAACTGTTTTAAAACCAGGTCTGGTCACAGGAGCATTGTCTACGGCTGGGCTCCCGCTGGCATTAATGCTGGCTCAGCTAAACCAATATTAGAACTAGTGGGGAATGTTCTGTAGATTTCCCCGTTGCAGATAAGATCTCAGGGCATCTTGCCAGGAGCCGATGGGCAGCACCTAAATTGCGTATAACTCTACATCAGTTTTACATGAAATGTAAACACACAGAACCCTAATATTTGCTTGTACTTGTCTCCTCTTTGATGGATGGAGAGTATTTGCCCGTTGGCTGAGTTCATCCGCAACAACAGCCTGCAATTTTTCATCTTCGTCTATACCGTGCAATAAGTTGAAGAGGCCAGTAATGGGCTGCATTTTAGTCTGTCTGGCTTGGCCCTGCCTGTTTTAAGTTATAAGTCTGGGGACGCCTGCAGTAAGCAGTAGGAAGGCTGATAACTCTGATGTCTCTTGTTCCTGAACATGAGTCAGATCCTGAGATGCATCAGTGCTGGGCTGAGTCACAGGGAGAGCATACTAGGTTTGACCTTGAAAGGTGCTGAGTGCTTGGACCCAGTGCAGCAAAGCACAAAGAACCGTAGAAACGTAGGGCTGGAAGGGACCTTGATAGGTCATCTAATCCAGTCCCCTGTATTGAGGCAGGACCAAGTATTGTCTAGATCTAGACCATCCCTGGCAGGTGTTCGTCTAACGTGCTCTTAAAAATCTCATACGATGGCGTTCCGCAACCTCCCTGGGTAATTTGTTCCAGGGCTTAACCATCCTGACAGTTAGGAAGTTTTGCCAATGTCCAACCTAAATCTACCTTGCTGCAATTTAAGCCCATTGCTTCTTGTCCTGTTCTCTGTGGTTAAGGAGAACAATTTATCACCCTCCTCTTTGTAACAGCCTTTTACGTACTTGAAGCCTGTTCTCATGTCCCCACTCAGTCTTCTCTTCTCCAGACTAAACAAACCCATTTTTTTTCAATCTCACCTCATAGGTCATGTTTTCTAGACCTTTCCTCATTTTCCTGGCTCTCCTCATGACTTTCTCCCATTTGTCCACATCTTTCCTGGAGCGCGGTGCCCGGAACTGGACACAGCACTCCTGCTGAGGCCTCAACAGTATGTATAGCTTTAAGCCCGTGAATAGTCCCATTGACTTCAGTGGTACTACTCACGGTGCTTAAAGTTGAGCACATGCCTAAGTGCCCTGGGTGGAACAGGGAAGAGTGCTCAGTCCATTGCAGGACTGCGTCCAATGCACATTAACGACTTTTCCACACTAGGGGGTCTGCTCCAATTGAAACCAGTGGCAAAATACACCCCTTGGTGTCAGTCTTGCAGCATCAGGCTATCGGTGCAGAAACAAACTACTTTTAACAAGGATATTTTGCAAATGGGAGGGGAGGGAAATTATCCTCCCTTTGGAATCTGTACCCTTTACAGTCCTGCTGTGGAAGCAATGGAAGAGGTGTCCTGTTTGTGGGAAAACGAGGTGCCTTCCTCTTGCATTACTGTAAACGGTCTAGATGTAACCACTGGGGTTTTACTACTTGTGATAGAAAAAGGTTTCCTCGTACGTAGCACAGGTGAGAGAATTGCAAGCCTCAGCTGAGTGGTTCTAGCATCACAGCCACAAATGGAAACTATGCAGCCTGAGGAACGCTAGTGGTGTGTCTCAGCGTACCACACGCCAACACATCGGTCATGGGGGTTGGCCACACTTGGAGTGGCAAAGCCAAGATTAGAAAAAGGACGCCTGACTCCCAGAGCCCTGCTCTGACTGCCAAAGAATAACTCAGCTTACATTTTATGCGAGGGTGAAACTGACACCATCATGAGTTTTCAGGGCTTCTACTAGAAGGGCAGCAAAGTGAAAATGTACAGGAATTGAGTCAGGTTCACTTTGGAGCTGCGGTCCCGTAGCAAGAGGACCCGGGATGTGGATCCAGCCGAGGAGGAAAGGGAAAGGCTGATAAAAGCTTCTCCGCTGGTGTCCTTGCTTTACTCCTGTGGATGATCAACCGTATCGGTCCCCAAAATGCACTAAAAGTAATTCCGTGTGTGTATTACTCTGACTGTGGAAAATGTTGGGGTTGAGGATCACATCTGGCCCCCTAAATGGATAAGGTGGGGTTTAACAGCAACAGAGCAGCCCAGATACGCTTGCCAGCTGATCATATTCACCCCCCCCGACATCATTTTTGTCTCCTTTTCCCTCCCCCTCTTCTCAGAAGTTAGCATGCTTTGTTAGCATGGTGCCTCGAAAGTCTGCTTCACTCACTGTCCTGGCTGGCACTAGCTGTAATCCCGTTCACGATGTACAGACGGTGGAATCCACATACTAAACCTCCATCTGATTTTGCAGTACAAGGGAAATGTGTGAAACATCCCAGAAGTAGTGTGGTTTACACTGCAAGCTTTGGAAAATAATTGTAGAGAGGCCTGTTCATCACGGGAATTAATTGTGTCTCTTTCCAGGGCTGGGAAAGAAATCCAGAGTTGTGACTCAGGAAGAGACTTCGGAAGGAAGAAACCCTGAATATCTTTAAAGTGCCTTTCTGCAGTCATCCAGGAGTGTTCAGCGCCAGAACTGGTACGTAGACCAATTTCTTGTGCAACCCGGGCAATTCTGTGCTGGTTTCTCCCCAAGAATTCCAACTCTAGTCCCTCGTTTGTGATTTTTCATAAGGAATCACAGTCACTTAATGGAGAGAGGAGGCTCATTGAAGTTTTGAGACACAGGCACTAACTTTCTGCAATGCTGAATGCCCTGGCACTCGGTGCCTTCTGTGGTGGGGGAGCAGATGCTCAGAACCTCTGAAAAGTTATTCATGTTCAGAACCCTGGGCTGAGTAGAATTGTAGAGCTTCTATTGTGCTCGCTGAAGTGGGTGTGCTGAGGTCTGATACCAGATGTGTCCATGATATGTGTGTGTGTGTGGGGTGTATATGTAAATACATAAAATGTAGCAGTGTGGATATAGATGAAACATGTATGTGCAGTACACAGTGATGCGTGTGATATATAAAGTTTATCCATGCGTGCGCACATATGCATAATATATCATCTGTGTTTGCGTGTGTGTAAAGTATTTGTATGCATGCACACATGTACTCTCTGAATATGGAGCCATTCAGAGCTACAATGCAGCCTGCTAGGGAAATGCTTCTGGCCAAGATGATCAAAGCCAGCTCCTGCTTTTCTGTGACTTCTGTCTTTATTAATTCTTTGTGACCCAGTATTTGCCTTTGACTGCAAATGGGAGCAGTCGCACACCTTTGCGTTAGCACATTTGACAGCGCATCGTTTCAGTCTGCAAATCTGACAGCTGCTTTTGAAATGCACCAGATCCTCGCCTTCTGCATGAGGGCCTGGCGTTCGCCCTGCATCTCCCTGTGACACTGCCGAAGCCCCCAGTGTTGCCACTGGTGCGCTCTGTCTGTGGAGACGGTTATGAATCAAATGTACTGAGGGATCCTGGTTACGTAATGTCATTTAGGTGAAATTGGTCGTGGCCTGACCCAGTGGCCTACTGTTAGTGATCTGTACTGCCGTGCAGGGGGCTGGGGGTGGATTTTTTTTCTTTTCAGTCCCCGGGCTTTTGCTTCCCAGGCCAGCACAGACTGGGCGTGTGCAGGGAAGGAGCAGTTTGTGTTGTACATCAGTGATCTCTGTCTGGGCAGAATTTCTCCCCGGTGTGCTTAGATGCCTTGCAGTCTTCCTTGAAGACAGAAGAGCTGTCAGGCTAAATAGGCAACGTAGTAACGAAAAGAGTAAGGTAAAATTGGAGCAAGGAAAATAGGGGGAGCTCCTCAGAGCTGCCCAGGAAAGTGTGGATGGTGAATAGGCCCTGGGGGCATTTTGGTGTCTAATATGCTCATGTCGTAAAAGGACGATGCACTTATTTGCATGTAATGCGATGCTTTGCAAGCGCTCTCAAGGTGCCATACTGGCTGTTTATGTGGTTCACTCTGCGTACCAGTGGTACACAGCCATCTTTCAGGGGAGATGAGCACTTTATTCCAATCGAATTGGCATCGTTTAATCTTGCCTGCCAGCCCGGATCATTAACTTGACCAGGATGGGTTCGGTCCCCGGCTCTCAGCCCGTTTTTCTCTTGATACATTATCTCTGGTTGAGAGTCCAACCCTTCCCTGTAAGGTCACGGACCCATTGATCCCAGGCTGCGGGCCAAGTGGCTGTAAATCATGTCCTGCCATCCCCTGTGTAAATCAGACGGGCGCGTTAACAGCCCGCGTGCCTCCGGGGTTCCTTCCCTTAGCCCCCCACTCGCTGCAGCCTGCGTTCCTCTCATCTTTGGTAGGGCAGGTGGGAGATTTCTCTCTCAAGCCGACACAGCTGATGTTTCTCCTCTCGGCAGACGCAGGCAGAGCGATGGCACGTGGTGCTCGTTAAATGTTGCCGGCCCTTTTCCTGGGGACCTCAGCCTATTTGTGCTCTGAGTCCTGATCCACAGAGGGTCCATGTGCTTCTGTGACAGCTTTTCTAACACCCTCCTCGCTGCTCTCTGTGCTTGGCGCGCCGAGGCTTCTGCTGCCCATTTCTTGTGCTTCCTGGTGTCTTGCTCTGCATTCCTTGGGCGGGCGGTTTTACAAAATCTATCCAGGCGCTGATGTGGCCTTCATCACCACAAGGGCAGAGAGCCTGCTCCCCCTGATACCAGGGGGTTAGCCCTTGAATGGGATGGAATAGACTACCCCATACGGCACTGGTGCATTAGGAATGCGCCCGGCTCCCATGTCAAAGACAAGTGAAGCTGGCACCTCTGAGTGTCGTCATTGGGTTTTAAAAAAGTAATTCAACAGCCACCTCCCAGGAAAGACCTAAACCAGCAACCTGTCCCAGCTTCCGGCTGACCGATGAAAACAAAGTGCTGTCGTGCGTTCCGTTCATTGCCCTTTGAATTAATGGTTGCTCATGTTAAGTCTCCTTACATTTAAAGAGGGGTGTGTGCTTGTGTGCATCTCTGTTTTGTGCGTGCATTCTGCCTCGTCAAGCTTTTTGTGCAGTGGGAATGGCATTAAGCTGTATTAGGAAGAGAATCAAACAGGGAAGAGAACTCTGGTTTCTCCCGAGCAAAGGAGCTCATGTTCTCCATCTCCCATGACATCGGAACGATCATAACCTTGATCCCTGGAGGCCTTGGTGCCCTTCACTGCCTATCTTAGGTATTTATTTGGCCCCCATCACTGCAGTATCTTAGCAGTTCAGATGTATATCCTCACGACGCCCTGTGTGATAGGGTATTGCTATTATCTCCATTGTACAGATGGGGAACTGAGGCACAGAGAGGCTAAGTGACTTGCCCAAGACCATACCGGAAATCTGTGGCAGAGCAAGGAATTGCACCTGGGTTTCTCAGGTCCCAGTCTAGCTCTGTAACCACTGGACCAGCCTTCCACTCTGTCTTGGCCCCTGGATCCCTTGATGCCCCTCCAGAACCCTTGGTGCTGTTTTGGTTAAAACCAAATGCTGTATTAAAAAATTGAAGTTGATTGGCCATACATGGGCAAAGCCAGCTTTGGAGTTCAGTGCCTAGAAATCTGACAGCATCTTGTTTTAAAACAAACAAACAAACAAACGATGGTAACATCAGCTTTACAGCCTGTTCCTGTTGGAAATGGTCTGAACTGCACATTCCTCAAATTCTATATGTTCAGTCAAGCTGCTGACTGCAGCCCTTAGCTCCGGGTGGGAGGATCTCTCTCTCCCCAGACAGAAGGGTTATAGACGTTTTCAGTCTGGGTTTCCCCCTTGGGCACAGGTGTTGGGATCCGCTTCCCTTTCAGCCACGGAGCAGCTGCACCCGAAGGGAGATTCGTGCTGGTGGGCCCGCAGCATTCATACCCACCGGCCACTTACTGTCGGAGCGGTTCTGCCAGGGATGGACAGCTTTAAAATCCAGGCAGGCTCCGTAGGATTGCCGCAAGGAGGCCACGTGGGAGGAGCACTGCACCAGCCCAGGTCCTCGTTGGCCTAGCCATGCTCCCTCTTGTTGGCTGATCCAGACAGCTCTAACCCTCCCTCGTAGTGCATTGGCACTATACACCCCGCTACATGGGATTCCCGCAGCTTCGGTTCCATTGGCAGAGCCTGTTGAGAGGGTGTATCCGACCTCTGTGTTTTTTTTCAAATGTAATAAAACCTTGGTCACGTTTCCCCTGGAGACACCTCGGGGACCCGCCACGGGTCTGAGATCTAAAACAAATGCTTTGGCCTGAGATGTGTGCGTCTGGGGATGCTCCCCTGAGGGTTTGCTATGCTGGGGAGTCTGTTGCTGTGACCAGGCCATGATCTCTCTTCTGCTGGCACCGCCCATGGTTTGGATCATGCTCATCTCTTCCCTGGTGAGCTTTTCGGCTGTGTCCTGCTCTGGCTGCTGCTAAAGACCTGCCTGTGCGTTGATGTCTTGGCACGGAGGCCGAATCTACCCAGTCCCCTCTAAGTGATGTTGGTTTTTTTTTAAACCTACAAAAGATCTGCTTGACCTCCTGCAAATTGTGGGAACTTGACCCCAAGCTCCCACAATTCCCCAAGAGGAGTGTTGATATCCCACAGTACCCTGCAGTGAAGTCCCTCAAGGCACTGCATCCATTGGTGATGTAGGGGACGCTGGGCTGCCTACCCACGGTGTGGTGCATCTTTTGCTGATACAGTCTCTTCCAGGGAGGAGGTGTGGCACCAGCAAAGGCCGATAATGTTCGTAGCAATATGCCAGCGAAAATGCTGCTGGCCTGTCCCTCGTCGATTGGTTGCTTTCTCCCCAGTACACCGTTGCAAAGGGAATTAAATCCACTCAGCATGTTGCACTTCGAGCCGGGAGCTTCCCAAGTGCATACCCAAGAACTGCAATGCTAGTGGGGCATGCAGCGTGGTGTGCATCCCGTGGAGTTAATAATTCACATACCGCGTAGAATTCTGTCTCAAGATGGGCAAGTCGTCCAAGTGGCAAAGCTAGGGAGAGAAGGGTGATTTTTTTGACATCCTTTGGAGTCTTGATCTCCATATTTGGAAATGTTTACCCATCGCACTGGTCTATTGGAAGGGGAGGGGAGGTGACTCAGGGTTTGGTGGAAGCAGGGTTTGAATTCCTGTAGTAAGGTTTTTTTTAACTCTCTTTTCCCCTTGTTTTGGAAGCCAGTTGTTGTCAGTTTTCAGCTCTCTTGCTCCTGGATCGCGTTCCTAATGCCATCCGCGTTAGGGGGGAGCATCTGGACGCCAGTAAGTACGTGGTTATTGCAGAAGCAGGGGACTTGGTTTTTTGTTTAGTCAGATGGGTTGGTTGGGGGAGGAGGTGAAGCGTGTTATGTCCTGTAGCCTGGTCTGTTGAGCAGGAGTCAGAGAGAAAGAGACCTCCAGCAGCAATGAGCATTACCTAGTGGATCCATCTCAAAATCAACCCCCAGGCTCTGTCATTACCTGAGGGCCTAATGGTTGGCTGTAGATGAAAAGATCCTTTAAGCAGGCTCCACCTCAGTCCTTTGGTTCGGCAGGTTGATGCAGCAGGACAGTAGAGTACTGTAGGGTGAAATACGTATATGCCTAGAGTAGCGTTCAGCAGGTAAAACACAG